ACCGCTCTCCATGCCGCCCTCCACCTGGACCCGCTCGCTCTCGGGGGTCATCATCTCGTCGTCGCTGCCTTTGTCCTCCCGCTCCAGCTCCCTCAGGACCGAGTCCTCCCTCAGCGGAGCCAGATGGGCAGGCTCATACTGTACCCTGTTATTAGTGCTCACACTCTCTTTCACAGTGCTATGTTCCATGTCATAGTCATTAGTGCCAACATCACTCTCATCACAGGAAGCCTCTTTCTCCACCTTCACCTGCACCAGGTTGCTTCTCAGCACGTCCTGTGAAGAGAAATAAGAGCTGTTCAGATTTTCAACTCCTGAAAGGCTGGACTTGACAGACAGGTCCAGCACACAGTCAACATCTGCCGAATCCCTCACGGAGGTGACAGACCTCTGGGACAAAGACTCTGTTGAGCTGCAGGGGCTGGCTACTGTTTTTCCAGCTGCTGTGGCGTGTGGCTCTGCCTCTCCGCCAGCCTGGGGGATGCCTGCTGAGTCCGAGGGCAATCGCATCCACATGTTCCCAGGCTCGGCCGCCAAGTCCCTTTTGCTAGGCAAGATGTTCAATTTTTCATCTTCCCCTTCATCTTCATCACTGGGCAAATCGCCTGCCATGTGGCTGCTGCCATCAGAGAGACTCTCGACTTTGTCCGAACAACTTGAAGCATCTTCTTCCTTTTTGGTGCTGTCTGCCTCTGTGGTGGCTTTCTCTTTCAGCTTCTTTTTGCAGACTTTGACAATGTCATACATGTGGAGATAACTGGCAGCTGCTAGCACGTCTTCAATGGGCAAGTCTTTGAACTGGAGTTTCCCTTCATACATGAATTCAAGCAGGAGAGCGAAGGCTGGGGCTGTAACAATGTCGCTGTTCAGATGAACAATGTCTCTTTTGTCCAGCTGGTCCTTGTAAAAGAGGTGGAAATACATGCTGCATGAAGCCAGTACAGCTCGGTGCGCTCGGAACTGGGCATCTCCCACCAGAACAGTGCAGTCACAAAGAAAACCCTGATGTCTCTGCTCGCTCAGACACTGCAGCAAATGTCTACTATGGTCTGGAAACTCCATACTGTCTTCATAACCTGGGAAGAGAGAAATTTCTCATGAGAGCCTGCTTAGGAACAACTTTTCAAGGCTCTAGTCCCCATTAAAAAAAAAAAAATCAGCTTGGGCCACGGAGGTACATGTCCCTGAATTTTAATCAGGCTAATGACCCAAGCACTACCAAATCACACACACAGAACCAAATGCAAGAAGAAAAATGTACACTTTTGAAACTTCTTACCCCAGCCAAACAGTCTCTGATGCATCTCCACCTTCCTTGAACTTTTAGTCAAGTTTTAAAAGCGTTAATTTCAGTACAGTCTCTTACTGAGAATAAGAATTTAGGTCTCTTTCAGAAGAAATTTAATTAACTCTAATCATCAAATTATGTCCTACAAAACCTACAAAATAGCTTTAATTTCAAAGGGAACAACTCAAATAATGAACAAAGAAAAGTCCCAAACACATTCTGGAAGATTCAGAAAACTTGTTCAACCATCCTTTTTTATTTTATTACTTTTGATACTTGACTGCACTTAGCAAGCACAATTTAAACACACATTTGGCTGAATCAAGAAAAAAAAAAATGAAACCGCATAATTAGTCCAGAAATTAGCAAACAACTTACTTTTAAAGTCAGAGTGTTAAAACAACAAAAGCCCTGTGTATAAAAACAGATGTTAATGCCTTAAGATTTGCAGGTATAGCACACATGTATGAGATCAGAAGGAACTACACCAACAGATGGAAAAGATCATCTCTACTATGAACAAATCCAAATTTTTTTTAATGAATTGAGAAAAAGAAATGGTTATATTTCTTTGTAAAATCTGTACATCTAGAATATTAAGAACCAGAAGGGCTTTATTTAACTCCGAAAATTCTCATCTAAACTTTGATCTGTTGCAAAGCAAAATGAGTTCCATATTAAAATTAATGCAAACTTTTAAATAAAGGCATATTACATTCAAATGAAACTCAAAAGCTTTACAGGTTCACCATACAAAAAAAGAAAAAAAAAGTCTTGCTAGTAAAAGAGAAACTATTCTTTTGACTCCCCGATACCTCAGTCAACAGAAAATACTTTGTTTCAACATAATTTGATATATTTTGTTTTCCCACTAGCTTTTATTCTTTCAAATATGCACTGTTGCCCTTATTTTCTGGTGAAAGAGGGTAAAATGGAGGCAGGAGAGACGCAGATGTACAAAGGGTCAAAATTGAACCACAAAATTCAACTCCTTAAACCTGACTTCCCCTTTCCTATGACCAGAAGCAAAGTTCCACACCATCCATCTCAAAAAGTGCATTTGGGGAATGGATACATATTAATTTAATATTTAAAAATTACTTCCCTGCTTCTTCTACACTTTGCCCAAAATGGGCTAAAACTTTCATCCTAACCCAATACATTCTGCAAGACGCCACTGCTAGAATAAACCAAGATTTACAATACAATCACTTCAAGTGCCCCACAGCTAACATCAATCCTAATCCTTGAGAGGGCTAAAAATAAAGATTGGAGGGCAGCTCACAAGGTAGCCGTGATCAAATTAGGAGGCTGAGAGGACAGAGAGGGACGAAGAAGGAAGCTTATAAACATCTGATCCAGCTGACTGTGGCCATATGGCAGCTGCTGCCCAGATAAAGAGATTAAGAATAGAGGAGTGCGATTACAGCTGTCTGGCCAATTCAGGCAGCTCAAATCTACAAGTTCTAAATTAGTCGCTAACACAAAAACTCCTGCAAATAATTATCGTTATGCTGAAATAAAAGATCTCTTAAATATATATTTGAAAGAGAAATGAGGAAACCAGTCAAACTATTCTCCTGGGGACAAAAGTTTTTTTTTTTTTTCTTTTAAAAAAACCCTTCGGTTATAAAAGCACTACAGCTGTATGTTTCAGTAGTGCTGCTGAATGTTTTGAAGAATAAAGTTTCACAGTGGAATTAATTACACAACAATCTAGCTTCTTAACTAGAAAAATCTTCTCATATAAGTTTGAATGCTGGATTCCATACAGTTTACTATTTCTCCCCCCGACTCCAAAAGCAAAAGAAATCTAAATAGCAGTGAACAACAACAACAAAAAATGGATTTTAATCCAAATTGATCTCAAAAAGCAATATTTCAAAGCCTTTCTTAACATTTCAAAACTTGAAATATTTCTGCATATTAAAGTTATTTACCCGATCGAGCAAGAGGGATAGAAATTAAAACTAAACAAGCCCAAGACTCTCAACTCCAATAAGATGTTCATTTAATACTCAAGTTCGTATTTTATTCTTAAACTGGATTAGAAAAGTAATGTGATTTTTTAAAATTAAATAAACACCAAAACAGAAATATACTCCATCTAATCTCTTGCTACTCCTACCTTTAGGACACATAAACCTGATTAAGTCCTTTCCTCTGAGTCTTGCTGGCTCCAGGTCTGTTACATCGGTGGAAAAAAAGCAGACTAAGAGACAGATGCAAAGTGGAGATGATGTTAGAGAGGAATGAGATACCTTCTCCACCACAGATCCGCACACACTAACTCCCTGTCTGTGTGTTAGAATAAAAGGCTGAGGGATGGCAGGCTGTCAGCTGCTCTGACATCATGTTCAGATGGAAATGCTACCTCCAGCTGTGCTCCTTTTAATGCCATATGCTACTCCTCTACACTCCTGCCACCAGCTTTTTCTTAGGAGAACTTTTCTCTTCTGTTAGTATAAACAAAATACTTCAAAGTCTCCCTTTTTTTCCAAACTTTCTAACAGAAGAAATTGAAAAACTCAGCATATGGAGTTCTACTGTATTTATGGAATAGCAACACTTCTGTCTTAAGTTGGTGGACTGGCTTACATACTGACAGCACACTCAAGCCACGGTGCTATTCAGGAAATCCAGATTCACTTTTATTCAACTCCAACGTTTAGTTTCAAAGGCAGCTTAGGGATATTTTTAAACCAACCCATTTGACATCTCCAGTCCCATTTCAACATTATTACGGCACTTCAATTTTTTTTTTTTTTCTGCTGAGATAATGGTATACATGTCTCAGAATGCTGGAAGACTATTCAGAACTACTACTTCAACCTGGTTCACCTTATTATTTCACTCTTATATAACTACTTATCTAAAACTACCTTCTCAGTAAAATTTCTCACCCTGCCAGTTAATGCAAATTTCAACTCTCAATATCAACAAGCTGAAACTGCACTTTCTGAAATCCTGGAAAGTACTTCAGTTCAATGAGACAAATTAATAAACAGATACAACCTGCTACAGCCACTTAAAATGAATGCTGCATCTGCGTATCTGATCCGACTTTCTGCTCAGAAAGAGAACTTGGTCTTCCCCTTGATCTGTGTCCCATAACAATCTTTTTTTGGGTCACTCTGTAATGTTCATGATCACAAGAAAACCTTTCAGGGAGAAAGGGGGAAGGGGTGGGGGAAGCCAGGTCTAGCAAGTTGGGGAACTTTTCAGCTAGATTTGCGGGTCTTTTCGAATGGCTGATGAAATTGTAACGTAACCCGGGCTGGCCTGCCCAGTGCCCTGCAAGGGGCTGCGACATCTGTGAATGTCGAAGTCTCCACAGACTCTTGTGGGAGAGTGCAGCAGAAAAGGCGCTGGGGCCTGAGGCGCAAGTGTCACAGTCCTGGTGATAACCGCTCCGTTCTCATTAGAAAACCATGACCAAGAGTTAAATAAAGAGTAACAAAGACCAAGGTCTCTATCCTGTGCTTCTTGCTTTCCCAAAGTCGCAAACCCAACTTTCTCTAACTTCGCGATGAATGACATAATTACGAATGCCTATTTCAGGAGGCACTCTTTGGGGATAAATTCCTTCTCAGCCACACCACCTATTCTGCACAAATGCCCTCGCCTCATTCCAATATATCAGACATTAATCACCCCATTTACCCAGTGGGGTGGGGGGCGAGTGACAGTTTAATGAGCCCCGAGCACCGCAATGGGCCAGCGACTCCCACTCCACAAATCAGCCCCTCTGCGCCTCGCAGCCTCAGGTCCGGAGAGGTTTTGCGAGGTTGGGTTTTGTTTTTCAAGGAGGTGGGGGCGGGGGTGCGGAGCAGGGAGGGGGGAAGAAATGCAAATCTTTACGTAGTTGGCTGTGCATAAAACACTAGGGGAAAGAGGAAGGTTAAACCACAGGGAAGGAGGTGGAGGGCGTAGAGCCGGTGCAGCAGGAAAACACCTTAAACAACAGACAAGAAAACAGACCCGGGTCACGGCAACAACAAAAGAAAAGTCGTAAGAAGCCGGGGGAGGGTGGCTGCTACTGCTTCCCTGCCGCCGCGGCGCGAGCCCCCGGCAACTGCCCCGGCCCGGGAGGGGCCTCCCCGCGGGCGCCGCCGCAGCTGCAAGGGTCCCCGGAGCCACGGCCGTCCCGGCGCCGTGCAGCTGCACCGCTCCCAAGCCCCCGCCCCGCGTCCCCCGCCCCCGAGAGGCGCCGCCGCAGCTGCACCGGCCGGAGCGCGCCCCGAGCCGCAGCTGCACCGGCCGCACCCCGCCCGACCCGCAGCTGCGGCGGCCCGGCCCCGCACCCGGCCCCCGCCGCTGCGGCGCCCCCCGTCACCCCTAGCTCCACCCGCACAAACTAACTCCACTCGCGGGGCCCGGTCGCCCGCCCGCCCGCCCGCACTGCCCCGCCGGCCGGGGCCGCACAGCCGGCGCCCCGCCCTCCAGGGCCCGGAGGGGGCGCCGGGTCGGGGCCGGGTCCGGCGCCGGGACTCACACGGAGCGGCCCTAAGTCACCGCGTCCCCACCGCCGCCGCGTCCTCCGCCTCCCGGCCGCCGCCGCCGCCGGACTTGGTGGGCTTCCTCCTCCGCGGGTCCCCCTCCCTCCCTCCCGGCCCCCCCGCCCCCCAATCCCGGCTCCGTCGCCCGCTCCCCCTGCCCCCTCCCTCCCGCCCACCCACCCCCGCTGGCAGCCGGAGGAGCGCGGCGGAGCGAAGAGGCCCCACTCTCAACGGCTCCCCATGGCAGCAGCCCAGCGGCGGCCACAGCCTGCCAGACACAGCGAGGGAGCGAGCGAGCGAAGAGCGAGCGAGGAGCGAGCTCGGAGCCCGGGCCGGGGGGCGGGGGGGGGGGCGGGGGGAGGGGCGGGGGGACGCACCACGCACGCACGCGGCGGCGCCGGCCAGATGTTCCCCCCCCGCCGCCCTCCCTCCCGGCGCTGGGCTGCTGCGATTGACCGAAAGCAGCCGGACCGAGTTCCCCGCCCGCCCCCTGCAAGCAGTCTCCTCCAATAGGAGGGCGGCTTTTCAGGGAGGCGGAGGCAGTGGCGGGCAATCGTAGGACTGACAAGAGGGTCCAGCCAATGGGATGGGCGAACCGGAGCTGCCTCTCGCGAGTGCCAATCGCAGGCAGAAACTGTTGGGGAGGGCGGGCCCGAGCGGGCGGGGCTGGTAGCCAGGCGGTGCGGGCGGAGTCGGCGGGAGGGCGCAGCGGCGGTGGCGGCAGCGGCGCCCCTCTGGGGTACTTGGCCGTGAGAAAGTGAAAGGAGCCCGCGGGCGGCGGCGACAGCTGCACTGGGAGGGGCTTGTTTCCAGGCTAGGAGGCCTCGCGCGCTCTGGGGGTGCGGAGCGAGCTTTTCGGTGTGCGCCTTGACAACCATAAATACAGTTTTGAACGTAGTGGGGCTGGGCTGCTCGAAGTTGCGGAGGTATCCGCGGAGGCAGAGCACCCGGGACACACATGACCTGAGTCCGGCATTAGGTGGCTCCCTCTGCTCCGGCTGCTGTGGGTGACGACGCCCAGGCCCTCGTCTCCTAGAGCGCAGAGGGTAGGACTAAGGGACGTCCTCGCTCCGTCCCGCGCTGCCCCGTCAGCAGGTGCAGGTGCGCGTCGGGCTCAGCGGACGCCACCGGCTTAGACGGGCAGTTTCTGGGCGTCATTCTCAGGGCGTCTTGTCAGACACGGCGGAGCACCTGTATTTCTCGCAGAACCCTCATGTCACGTGTATTTGCAGTGTTACAAGTAGCCATTCCCGACTGACCAAATTCTAGAGAACTACAGTAAAAGTGATACTTGCAGAAGCCATAGCCTGATTTCTTAATTGGTACATCTCAAGCCACAAAGTTAAACTATGGAGGGAAGATGTAAGACTGTTGTATCGTTTCTCCCTTCAAATAAACTTTTATTCGATTCCTGTTCTTTGCAATTAAACTGTGTTCATCACGGCCACCAAGAAAAGTAGAAACCTCTACCTCAAGAAATTGGAAATATTGTTGAAGAGGCAAGAATTACAAGTAAAAAGTTGAATAACAAGGGGGAAAACTGTTCTAAGAATATAAAATAGAAAACTGCAGAGTGAGGAAGTTAGTACACTAGTAATTGTCAAGTGAAATGTGTTTATTCTTTGCTAACTGAACTGAGACTGGCAAGCCTGTTGCTAACCAACTTGCCAGGAGACCTTTCAACTGGGCAGAATGTGCTTTCACTTTGTTCCAGGTCAGATGGGTAAACTAAGTTGAAAGTATTGTGTAGGCAAATCAGACATATTGAATTACTAATGAAGTAAAAACAGGAGCACACAAAATTCCTGCAGCTGATATTGGAATATCCTGTTAGAAATAGTAGTGATGTTCTCTACTCTTTCCTCAATGTTTTCATGCACCCTCATGATTGATAACTGAGGTCAAGGCCATTCTATGACAACTAGAGCTTTTTATTCCATGGACTATATTCCATTTGTGCTTTTGGTGAATTCTAGATCTTTTAGTCGGTTGGTAGAGGGCCCAATTTCAGTCTGACCTGTTTAAAGTTAGGGAAGTTTATAAATATTCTTGATGAAGGAAATACACTCTTTTAAAAACAGGTGAAAAGAAGTACATGCTTTGCCAACAAGTTCAGGAAAGAATTGGAAAAAGAAATATTTGCATTCTCAAAGTTGTTTCTCACCTACTAAGAGTTTAAGATAAGAAAAGTAACATCTCTGAACAAAAAGACAAAGTAATTAATAGTGTCAGCATATGAAGTAAGAAGTTCATAAGAAAATTAGAACATTAAGATTATCCATAAAAAGTTTAGAAACTCAGCTCTGTTGCATGTAAAGCCACAGCTCTAACAAAAATTTTTACAAAAAGCACCTACAGATAGGTTAAATCCCCAGAGATGTGCTGGGGGAGACATTGATGCATCAAAAGTTATGAGCATTGTTTTTTAGATATAATTGTCATCACTAGGATCCATTTTGAGAGCTGAGTAGTGTAGCCAGAAAATGTAGATTAAATATATACTTAAGGATGCAAGTTTGTAGTCCCTCAATTATTTAAAATATTTTCTAAATTCATGAAAATGCATGGAATATTCATACATTGTCAGAACCAATAAAAATGTTTCTGGAGTATTTACTGTGTTCAAGAAAGGTACTGTGATGGATACAGAAGACAACAAAAAAGTATGAGACATTTCTCCTTCTTGGAGTTTAAATTTAGTTGGGAAAGAAATGGCATAAGTATATAAAAATCTGAACCAATGGAAAAACGAAATAACAATATAATAGCATATGAATGTCAGAGCTAAATTTAATATTAAATTTTTATAAACATCTTGTCCCTGGTCTCTGGTTGCCGTTACATTTTCTCTGCCCTTTTTTTTACATTAAAGACAATTTTTTTTACTCTGACTTTTTTTTTTAAGTGTTATAAACTTACTGTAAAAAATGATACTTGTAATCATCTTTGGAAAGTCATCAGCCTACAAATTGTAAATAAAATAAGACTGATTTCTGAGGTATCATAATACAGAATGATGACTATTTTTACTGGGCACCCACTGGAACCATGGAAGGTAAGTCAGACTCTAAAGCACCCCTTCAAGTAAGCTCCTCAAAGTAGGGACTGTTTGGCTTAGCAAATTAGTAAGATACAGAGCTACTTGCCAGCGTTTGAGAGCCAATAATCTTTCTTTTTTTTCTCTCCCACAATGGAAAAAAATGCAAAAAGTATAGTCTCTAAACTATTAGAAAAATATACCATTGCTTCCCTCTGGAGGAATCCTAGTCCCAATACAATTCCAATTAGTCCATACTTTTCTGGGAGTCCTGAAATTTAGAATGATACCAGTCAAGTTAACCATTCATGGTTAGATTTCTTGCCAGAGAACAAGATTTATGTTTTACTAACACATGTATTCTGACCAATAACAATATAACACTATAAAACGTTGACATACCAAATAAAATTTAATTTGATGAGCAACTCCATAAAATGAATGTCTGACTTTTAAATGTGAACCACAGGTCAAATCTCTGAAAAAAAATCAGTGTTTTTATTACACTTTGTGCAATAGGTCATGTTGAAAAAGTTATCTGTGAAATTAATTTTTGAATATTGACTTTTTATAAACTTCAAGTATAATTGGATTTTTTCTTAAAAAAATAGGGAGGCAAGCATTAATAATAAAAGGCCAGATATTCCAAAGTGTAATGTCTTAAATATAAGAACTATAAAATGTGACAAAATGTGAGTAGAAGTTAACCGGTTTTGAATCTAGAGAAAAAATACACTAAAATGAAAAATTTGTTGACGATTCTATTAAGCCCACTTTCAATGTCATAGCACACATGAAATTCTATTAACTTATTTAGATACTCTGTCTCCCTCTCTCTCTCTTCTGGCTTTTAGAAATGACCAGGTTGAAATGGCCTAAAGGGAGAAGGAGACACAGAAACACAGCTGACACAATAGTAAAAAAAGGAGTTGAGCAAACTGCAACACACACCACTATAATGAAATGAAGGAGCATATTTCCTAAAGCATAGTGTGTGTGTGTGTGTGTGTGTGTGTGTGTACACACACACACACATATAAAATAATTCCACAAGGACATTATATGCCAAATCATTTCTTAGGTTATAAATTCTGTAATACTTGAATCTATTAAATTCCTGAACTATGATAAGCCATAAATAGGAGATAATTCATCCTGATTCTCAGCCCTGAAGACAGAAATGTTATAAACACTTGAAGAAAGGTCCTTAACAGATTTACACAGAGCATTGGGGACAGACCCCCCTATACTGAAAGCAAAACGAGCCTCTACACCAGTAATTCAAATCTGTCTGAGGTCTGTTAAAGGGCAGAGAGGAGCAAAAGATACAGTCCTCCCAAAACTGCTTTTCCTGTATAGCCAGTTTTCAGTTGCTTACTGTAAATCAGTGCTTTTACGTGACCACCATAAATCCAGAGACAGCATAATGGCTGAAGGAGGCTGATAGCTCAGGCTTGGCTGAGACCAAGACTGGCCCCTTCGGAGAACTTAGGAAGAAAGCAAACAGCCACCCAACCCACACCCCTTTCCCCTCTCTCTCTCTCTCTCTCTCTCTCTCTCTCCATCCCTCCATTAAATTCATTATGCCTCATGGCATATGGAAGGCAAAACAATGCATACAATGACGCTCTTTACAGTTAACTTTGTACTATAATAGATTCATTATTCTATTGGCGTATGATCCCAGGTAACTTTTGAACCCCAGGTTGGTTCTCTTCCTTGCTACACAGAATGCCTTCCTGCCATCCACTGATGTCAGTTCAATCAGTTAAAAAGTATTTAAATACTATCCTAAACAAAATAAATTTGTAGAGACAAGTCTACCACCCTTAAAAATCACACAATTCCTCCAAAATCCGAATGTTGGAACTGTTCTATTGTTTTGGAAGTTATATTAATTAAAAGATGCCTTCATTTTATCTGTGGGTTTTTTAGATTAAATTTTAAAAAATAATCCGAAGAAACATATGACTTTTCCAGATGAATAGATTCTGTTAAAGAAAGATTTAATATGAACCTAGGATATTCATGCCCCATTTTTAAAATAACATAAATCTTTGAGTATTGATTGTTTTAAAATTCTGTAAAGTATATATAGAGAGAGGTAGTTTGTTTTTGTTCAAAATGAAAGAATAAAACTTCTAGATATTTAAATGTTCTTAATTATATTCAGTTGCTTAAATTTGGGTGCAAATGAACTTAGAAAAAGTGAAGTAAGAGAGATTACCGGAATTGACACCGCATACCTACTACATGACAAGTATTGTGCTTCTGACCAAAAGACAGAAACTTCATTTGTCTGCATTCCAATACAAGGATAAATTTTTCCTTCATTTTAGGCCTGCTCCACCCTCAAAAGCAGAATCTTTTGGGGCTTTAAACCGGCAGAAAGGAAAATGATACATCCAAAAATTATTTGCTGAGAACTTACAAATACATAAGAGAAATATGGAATTGCATTCTCATGGTTCTTGTAAAATTTCCATGTGCTAGGTGCCAAAGATACATGAAAGAATACCATT